AGAGACAGGGGATACTCATGTGTGGTTGTTGGTCCTCAGAACTGATAACCATCAGCCCAGGATTGCCTCAATTTGTCCGCTGTCTCCAGTTTTATTAAACGTATACATAGTGTTGATAACTGAGCAGCATTTGCACAGGAGTGGCAGGACCGTGTCATTTGCTGATGACCTCTTAGTATATTGACATGGAAGAAATCGTCAGAGATTGCCAAGTCAATGCAGAATGAACTTAATCGCATCTCCTCCTGATGTGCAGATACTCCTTAAACAGGCATATAGTGAAGGCAGACTTACCAGCAGTGGAAAAAAGTAAAAGACCCCTTTCCCTGCCTCTAGGCATACAGTGCATTTTATAGACCAATCGGCACAAGATGGGTGATGTGGTCACATCACAATGGCCACCTTTACTTCCCGGGACTGCACCGGGTACCCACTCAAGGCTGGGTCGACCTGGGAGCCAAGGTCATTTTTGAAAAAAGTCCAGCTCCGCCAGGGAGCGAACTCATGACTTTCTGATCCACGGGCGAGCCTCTAGCCGCTCCGCCATGACGACTACCACCAGCAGTGGAAAGCAGCCAGGAAATTTTGATGAGAACAAATCGGATGATATACCTCGGAGTAAGGTTTGATTGCAGCCTATCCTTCAAAGAACATGTTGACAGTGTCATAACAGGCCTGTCAACAATTAGGGTCCTAGCCGCTGCTAATACTGAGCAGAGACTGCTTCTGTTTCAGGGACTTGTACTTTTGCCTATCAAATATGCTTTTGCCATCCTCACTGTCAGCCATACTCAAATCGAAAGACTTGAGAAGGTGCAAAACGAAGCAATGCGCATTATTCTGGGGTGCACTGGAGTATAGCAATGAGGTACCTTCTTGTCTTGCCTACCATGAACTACAGGATCAAGATCTGGAGTGCATACTTCAAGATAATCTCAGATCTGAAGCACCCTTTGCACCACATGCTCTTCAAGAAAAAGGGCAATAGGCTTAAAAGGGGCAAATCATGGCTGGGTATGGCAGAGGAGGACATCATGCTGGTTTGCAGCCTTACAGGCATCATTCCAGGTGAGGAATGGATACCAGCGTCTAAAGCGCCTAACCTCACATTTTCTTGTGTCGTGACACTCAATAGGAGTTGTTGGGAGCAGAATCCAGCTACTGTCAATGCTGGGGTATGCACGCTTATCAGTGACAAATATGAGACAGATGTGATCTTCACAGATGGCTCTGTAATACGAGGACATAAGAGTGCATAGGCATTTACCGCTCGCTCTTTAGGCAGAACAGTTCAAGAAGTCAGTGGTGCCTTCTCCATGACCACCAGCAGCATGATGATGGAGGTTATGGCGGTAACACAAGCTGTCATGTGGCTAGAATCACAGGAGTATTCCCGCGTGTGTGTTTTGAGTGACTCTTTGAGCATGATCCGGCGGGTCGAGGCAGACAGTGGTTTGAGTCATTGAAAAACTCTCCTGTGTGTGCAGTTACCTTTATATTCATCACAGGTTATGCAGGTGTTGTTGGTAATGAAAGAGCTGATAGACTGGCAGGTGCTACAATAATTTGGCCAGCCCATGGATCACGCAGACATTGTCATTGCCTTTATAGAGATAGGACATTCTGAGGATTTTGGAAGCAACATGTTCACATCACTGCTAAGAATACGTGAATTGGGAGTAAAATTCAGCACAGCCAAGCATGAAAAGCACACCAGATGCACACAGAGTTTTGTTAACCAACATAGGACTGGCACTATTAACCGCTTGATGCTGATGAATATGTTGAAAGGGGAATCTGAGCACCTATGGATGTGTCCGGAGTGATATGAAGATAATCTAACTTATAACTCATACCCCCAAAAACATCCAGGGGGAAATGATCAGTCTCATACTCATATAATCATATATCAGCTTATAAGAATTTGTCAGCCTATGTCGCCGTCCGCATGCAACTCCCATAGCTACAGACAGCGAGTCGCAGCTGGATTTGAAAGCGAGTCTCTTTTTTTTTTTACAGAAACATGACAAAGATAAAACTGTCCTATTGAAAAAGTTTTGGTATTGGCTGTATAGTGCCACAGAATACATCAAATTCAAGGGAAATGAATGCAAAATGCACATCAACCATTTAAGGATCAGTATTGCAACAGTAACATTAAAATCATACCTTATTAATTGCTGTTAGATGCTCAGGAATATTTGTTAGATGTGAAATGTGTTTACCTTAACCTTTTTTTACTCGATCGGAAACGATTGTGTCAATTTCTAAGAATTCGCACGCCTTCTCCACTCAATTATACATCAGCCAGCATTTATATGAGACAGCTATTCTGAATACTTTGCCTTCTATGACCATTCGTGTGTGACATGTCAACATTTTGAACTACCAAATGACAATTGTTTTGATGAATTTTTTAACAGCAACATGACAAAGCTAAAACTGTCCTATTGAAAAAGTATTTGCTGTATAATGTCATATAATACGTCAAATAAAGAGAAATGAATGCAGAATGCAAGTGAACTATCTAAGGATCAACAACAACATGACACACAGTTACACCACATTAAAGGATGTTAGACCACAGCCTTCTCTATTTATAGGCCAAACAGGTCAACAGGGATTCCCGTTCTTTGGCAAGAATTGAGTCCCTCCTCATCCACAGTTTTTATCAAGGAGATGTATACACAAATTAAACTAGTTTCATTAATTTTCGACATATTTGATAAAACTATGTAATTTTTAAGGTAAATAAGTGTGCCAATTAAATATAACAATAAAGGCTCTTACAGACAAAAAAAAAATGCTTTTGCTACAGTCAACATGAACATAAACATCAATAACGTTTAGATATAAGCTAAAAGTTGTTCCAGCAAAAGTAAAGAAATATCAGTGCTAACTCTTTGATTCTGAGAGGGTATTGTTGCATAGAAGTGGGGGGGGGGGGGGGGGGAGGAGGAAGGAGAAGGAGGGGTGACATTTGTACTTTATCAAATTTAGCACATAAAAATACTGCTATGAAACAAACACATGATACATAACATAAATATAAATGATTGATGGTTATTATTATTATTAGTAGACTACTACAAAGTATAATTATACTGTTATTTAATAATTAGTAAACAAGCACAATCAGTATGAAATTGATATGTGCAATACTTTTTTCACCCAGAGTAGTTTTCTTAACAGTACTTATAGCACTACTAAATATGTATCCTCAAGGTACAAACAGACTGTACAACTGCAAATATGCATAAGAAGTGGATGAACAACCAGAAGTTTCCGTAAGAGTTTACAGCCAGTGTTCACGAAGCAGAAGCTAGTTTACAAAAATTAACACAGACCGTACAACTGCAAATATGCATAAGAAGTGGATGAACAACCAGAAGTTTCCGCAAGAGTAATTAGCTGCATTAGACCATGTATATTTTCGTGGCTGGTAACTACCCAAACCTTTTGGCACCAGCTCTTCATTTTCTGAAAACATTTATAGTTTAACAGCAATAATTTTCTTTAGCACCTTGCCAAAAAGTATTTTGTAGAGTGATAATCCTGAAACCGCTGAGTCTGGAATTATCTTTACCTGGTTTTGTAAGTAGCTGTGTATCTAGTCCTGGGGTATTGACGCTGTTCTGATGGTCTGGTTGAAGTGAAATGCCATCTCCCTCAAGTCTTCATCACTCTAAGCTTAATTTTTAATTTAGCACCAACTAGGTAGTAGTCAATGTGACACCCAGCTCCTCTGTAGCTTCTAACTTGTATGTTTGATGCATTTCTGTTATTTATTACAATTTGATTGTAAGTTATCTTGTCAAATGATTGCCAGGTTTTTTTTTAATATCCTTTCTTTATAATCTGGTCAAACTTTTTTCCCCACTGGCTTTGAGCTCTGGTGGAAAGTTCTGGTTATTCATCCAGTCCGACTTTTAACTTCATGTCAGGACCTGAATTTTGTCTGTTTTACTGGCTTATTTATGTGCAGTTGGTTGTACCTTGCCTCTCGGGCAGATACACTCCGACTTTGAAGGAAGTCCCCAATTAGTCAACTCTAACGACATGCTTGTTGAGTAGGTAGTGGGTCTATTCTTGTTTTACCCTCAGTGGGGCCACAGAATGCACAGGGGAAAATTGTCAAACTCAAAAAGCCACAAAAACAGTCTTTCCCCAAAACAAACATCGCAACCAGGTAAACGCTTTAGGATTACACTGTGAAATGATTTTTACTAAACTTTTAGCCACATAGCCATAATGTACGCAATCTACACTGAAAGGTGCATCTAACAATACACACCAGATGTACATTCATGAAACAGTTTCCACAAAATACTGTAACATAATACACCTACCTGTGACTGCCACGCTGCTGCTGTAAGCAAAATGGCGTCTTCCAGTTTTAACAATCTTTTTGATGGCAGTGCATAAGAATGATCACAGACATCAGGCTGTTTAGAAATATCTTCACCTTCACTTAAAACATTCAAGAAAATATTCCATAGCATCAGAAATATTCTCGAAACTTCCACCATTCCGGCTCTAACGTGTCATCCACATGGGAGATCACCAAAAAATTTGCAGAAAATTTACTTTAAGCACTTCTTAATTGTTTTCCTTAAATAAACATAGAGAAATGAATGGAATAACGACTTCAACTATATTTATCACAAAACTTACAATTTTAATAATATTCCAGTGAGCGTCCAGAGTTATGATTGTAGGGATGCGATGGTTGTAGCTAATCGCATAATGTGCAGTCTTGGTAGTCAGTGGATTAAGCATAGCTTGGACATCATTAGGCTTTGTCTGTTCTAATTGTTAAGTTTATTTGCTTTGTATTACCATCTAAATATTTGAAGTTTTTACTCATTGCAAAAATCTATAGTTTAAAAAAAAAATGTTGCAGTCTGACCCTTAAGATAATTGTATGTTTTATTTCGCATTTTTCTTCTTCAGAAATTGATGTTCCATTGTGAGAAAGGACTGATTATCACACACCTGGAATGGACAGTGATTTACACACTGTGATTCCTCTTGAACATCATGCATCTAATTCATCACAACAGTCACACTCTTTAGCCACTGGACTGGAGAATGCACTTGACCAGTGTTCTTCAGACTCATCTGAGATTGAAAGCAAGTCTGTCATTTGTCACATGAATCCAGAACTTGTTGCAACAAATTCAAACAAATTAAACAGTTTGATGCCAAAAAACTTTCTGAATATTATTCCTAAACCACGCTCAAGTATTTTTTCACTTCAAATAGCAGATGGTACACATGTGCAATCAGAAAGCAAGCTGTTATCATTACTACCTACCAGAATAGTAGTTTCAGATCTTGACAAAACTGCTCAAGAGATTGCCCTGATGGCTCCTGTATCTTCATCGGCAGTTATAGGAAATATTTTTCAACAGTTTCAAGTCAGTCAGTCTTCTGATGATTCCGAAGCAGAATCAAAAATGTCACATTCCTGTGCTGAACAAGATCATGCCCCACACACCTCTTTTTCTATAGAGCCGATGCAAGTAACAGTACCTCAGCTTGCAAGTGGAAGTGCCCATTCCACTTGGTGTAATGGCATAGGAGCTTCTGAATTCATAGCTTCACATACTACTTCTGATGAAATTGATAAAGAGCAGGATATTATTAAGAAAACAGTTGTGGAGGCATTTGTAAAGATGGTGGTTTGCAGGAAGGTCACAGTTCAGAAGGTGCACCTGAAGACAGGAGAGATTCTGGATACCAAAGTGAAAACAGTATGTTTTTCATATTCGTTTTTATATTGTGTTTGGATAACCATCTTTTCGCATTATTTTTTTTTCCAATCATCTTTCAGTAGTTTTAACTTTTAATAGCATTCATTCCGTTCATGATAATAAGCACACCACATGAGAGAAGTTTTGCATTCTCAGTTGACAAAGAAAGATTGCATAAAATATTCTTCTTTTGTAAAATGCTGCCTTTGCTTGAGTTATTTGACATTTAACTACCTTAACTCTTTCAGTCACAAAGAACGCATCATATGTTTATAGATTCTTACCTACAAACCTAATGAAAGCAAGATGCTTCGATTTTACACCTCTCTTTACTACCCCTTGTGCCTCTGGTATTAAATCCTCTAGGAATCAGAGAGTTAATACATCTTCCATTTGATGTTATCAGAGTACCCAAATACTTAAACATATTAATTAACTTGCTTGAGATTTGTCCCATTTACTTTAATGTTGCATTTTGAAGGGTCAGCTTTCTTTATTACCATCACTTCTATTTTTTTTTTGTTCAAACTAAGACCCTCGTTTTCACTTTCTATTACAATTATATCCATTCATTTCTTGCACTTGTGTTTCATTTTCAGTGATCAGAACTATATTATCAGAATATCACAGGTTGTTAACAATATGCCCACCACTATTTCTGGCATACTATGTGTGGATCGAATTATATTTCGCCGTACAAATTGAATAAATCGGGTGATATTACACATCCCTGTCTAACGCCTTGTTTAATGTTTTGAAAAATTCCAACCTGATTGTCAATCCTAATGGCTGCCTCTTCTTGCGGATAGCAGTAGTACTCTTCGGAAATAAAGTATCATTGTGATGCGATGCATGAACATAGCGATGAAATGGGTCAGCTGGATTGCAGCAGTTTTCTTTGAAAGAACAGAGTCTTCTGCACTGCGGTGCATGGACATCAAAACTCAACATATCTAAGTGGACTTACACCAGGAAGTATCTAATTGCCCATTTTTTCCACGTGTGTGACCTAGCTACACAGATGGGTCAATGAAACAGGGTCAAAGTCAGCATGGGTATACAGAGTACAAAGGATGGGAAAAAAAGTAAAGGGGATAGTGGTGCATACTAGACAACTCCATCAAGCATGTCCATGGAGATAACCAGTGCTTCCATATCACAGCAGAACAGGCAACTACGGTTGCAATAAATATTGGGTAGAAGGCATTCAGAAGTTGCAGTTAAGGTTAAAGTCTGTGGATTAAAAAAGTTCAGAAATAAATAAAAAAGGGACAGGTTAAATATTTCAGCTACATTACAACACTTTTTTCAAAACCATACTTAAGTGAAACATTGAAGGCACTAGTTACACTATAGGCTGGCAAATAGAGATGAATATCTGATGTTGTCATGGTTGCGTAACCTGGGAGTAAGGCTTGGTGAAGCATGCCAATGCCGTATTGGGGGCCAAGACTGGAGACACTGTAACCAGCTTCGCATGTGAAAAATCAGCGGAGGTAGCTTGAAGTGGCTGCTGCATTTGAGGACTGAGCACACATAAAATTGCCTAAATTGCAGTGATGTTGATTGTGATAACATAATATAAAGTCATGCCAGTCATCTTTACTTCCTAAGACATATCATTGTACCTACTTTAGACTATGTTAACTGGGTAGTTTTTGAAACTTTCACCTCATTGCAGATTATTAGGCATTTTAATTGACAACCATTTAACTTGGAGTTCCCACGTTCATGCCATAACCACACACACACACAAACCCACTAAAAGTTTATCAGCTTGACAAATTCAGCACTTTCTGAACAAAAATACTCTTAAAAAATATTTTATGTATCCTTTTTTCAAACGCATATTGACTATTGTTCCACAGTTTAGGATGGTTGCTCCAAATCCTGCTGTCTTTTTACAAAATCGGACCCTACACCTAGTCTTGGATGGAAAACGCGTGGATAACAAATATCCTATATAGTTATCAAAGACTTCTGCCATTTTGTTTTGTAAATGTTTAATTTTTGGCAAGGCCAAATGCATTGATAAAATCTTATATCAAGATACTCCCAATTACATTTTCGATTGATTCAAACTAATTCTGTAAATAGCAACAGTTAGGTCTATTACATTTGTCTAAACCTAGAATAGGTTTATTTAAAAAAAAGTTAAGCTTATTCTACTGCTCATTTATGGAACCATGTTCCACTTGATCTGAAAATTCAAAAAGCTCAAAATCATTTAACCACACAGTTTTGTTCAGTTTATGCTTACTAGTGATTTGAGCTACCTTAAATTTAGTTAATAATCCATAATTTATTATCATTTTATAACTAGATATGGTTTGATAAGTACACAGGTGTATTGATAAAATACAATTTAATGCGTGAAAGATGAGTGTTTGGAAGGGCTGATTGTAAGGTAATAGTAATAATGAAGATACTGTTCTCTCTTGCTTGTAGCATGTGTCTGACAAGGATGCTGTATGGAAACATTGTTTTAACTGTAAAGCCTTCAACAGGGCACAGAATGACAAGTTTATTGCATGCTTCCAAAATAAGGATTAGATGGAAAGGATATCAGAATTCTTCTTCTTCTTCTTCACTTCCTCTTTTACCGCTGTGGGTGTTGAGGGAGATATAAGGTTCTGTTTCTAGATCTTCTGGCTGCCTCGACCATAGACACATCGTGCTGTTGTAGAGTTTCTCTGATGTTATCCTTCCATATTGTTCTTGGTCTACCCCGTGCTCTACGTCCTTCTTCTCTTTCCATGTATGCTTTGTATGGTATGGTGTCACAAGGCATTCTCTCCAAGTGGGCAAAACATTTCACTTCCTGTCTTTGTATGTAATCCAGAATTGGTTCTGTGCCGACTTGTTCTCTTATGATCTCATTCCTGATCTTATCTCTTATGGTCACTCCTACAGCCCTTCTCAGACATCTCATTTCCGTGGTTATTATTATCAGAATTATTACTAGGGAAAAACAGTTAGACCCACCATCATCTACTTTCCACACACAAAAAAAGAGAAACAAAAAGGAGGAGTACATTAGAAATGTGTGTTATCCCCAAGTCTTTTCGATAGCTTCAAAATGTGTGTTGTTTCAAAAATAAGTAATAATGCAATTATTTATATATTTCCTTTAAAATAATCTTCAGCAACTGCACACTTTGCCAAAATACATTAGCTTGAATGATCTTTACCTGGGTTTAGAATTAATTAAATAGCTGTGCACACAGTCCTTGAGTACTGATGCTGTTCTGATACTCTTGTAAAAAGCCATCTCCTTCAAGTCTTCATCACTCATGCTCTTTATGTGGGCATGCCTGACTCCGCCCACCCAAGTACAGTGTCATTTGCTTTTTGCAATATATATTTTATGTCATCCACCTAATAATATCCTGATAGCAGTTATCATTAATGATATTCGATAGATTATCCCTAACTGAATTTCTATGTTCTCTATCATTATGATCAGTGTGTGATGTAAATGTCAGCAAGAATGCTTACCCTTATCTTTTTTGTAGTCATGGGCAACTTGTTGTCTGTGTATATAATACCGGTTGTGATAGGCCTATCCTTTCTTTTCATCTGTCTGTAAAGTTTCCAGAACCTACCCAGTGATTTATCCCCTCCTATTTCACTCATAACATTTTATCATTTGGTATTTTTTGCACTTGCTACATTCTTTTCTTTTCTGCAGTCTCCCTCTATCTCCTCTTGTAACCTTTGAGGTGTCTTTCACACTTTCTGTAATTGTTTAGCTGCTGCTCTCTTATCTTTTTATGCCTGTTCTACTTCTGGCGTCCACCATTGAGGCTGCATAAACTCAGAACGGATGGTTTTGTTGCATACCTTCTGCTGAAGGCGCCCAAGAAGATATTGGCGCTCTCATATTTAAAGGTCTTGCTCTTTCTTAAAACCTTAATGATGTTAGCTTTAGAAATCAAGACTGAGCTTGGCGTATGGTCACTCCCATGATTGCCCAGCACACTCCATTTTGTCTCCATCACTACTGACTGGATAAAAACACCAAATCAGTAGCCGTGTCTGCATCACGTCTCCGTGCCACTGTAGTTGGCCTACAGATGTTTATACAGACTGTTTGCATCCACCATGGATCTGCTATGGCATTTCCTTGTCTTTTTCATCAGTACTATCCCAAGCTCTGTTCGGCTCATTAAAATCCCCACAAACGAGAGCCTATTGCCAGGAATTTCGTTTAACTGTTTGTGCCAGTTCCACTGGTCTTTTGTGACAAAAGTCAACAGCAGCGTAAAAATTTAGTAAATTTCAGTTTGTGTCCCCTTATCAGCTGTGCACCTCTGTTGTACTGTGATTCCACTAGCCCAGTTCAAGCATCACATGCTTCACCCCCTTTTTCACCGCCAGAGATTGCTGTCTCCTTCGCATCCAGTAGGATTGATTTAACTGGTGTATACAGAACTCTCAGATCTATGTGTGATTAATTTCTGCAGCATGCTGACATCATATTTAGAGATCATCCTCTCCAGTACAGGTGCAGTCTGCCTGGCACTACGCCAGTTCCAATAAACCACACTAATATGGTTTAATTCCGATTTTTGACGGGCTCCCGTCTCCTATTTATATGCCTTTTCCTGTCTCCATTCCCGCTTCTCTCCCGTCTCCTATTTATATGCCTTTTCCTGTCTCCATTCCCGCTTCTCTCCCGTCTCCTATTTATATGCCTTTTCCTGTCTTCATTCCCGCTTCTCTCCCCACTTCCTCGATTGGTTGATGAATATAGTATCAAGCACAGAACATGCACTCTATAGCTCCGTATATGAATATTTTTAGTTTCAAGTACACAATCCATAGAAAAATATGTCAATGCAGGAAGTAAAAGGTCACTCTAGTTTTGTCTGCGTTGCTAGGAAAGAGGCAGGGGATATTTTAAAAGAATTCATAGCGGCACTCCTCCTTCTAACCAGACTTCACGCTTCTACCGCATAACCCACAGCCATAAAGCCCATTGTCTATAACCATCACAT